GACACCAACCATCATTGTCCCGCAAGCCTAGACCTGCCAACCAAGTACATGTTCCAGGTGTGAAAGTTTCAGGTGATTTTACAAAATGGATAGGAGCCACTTAAATGTAGAGTAACCAACTAAATTTTCAGTAGTTCTTTAATTTTAGAGTAATTTTCAGTTTAGATGCAAGACAGAATATGAAGCAACCAAACAACAATAACCCCACAAAGACAGATACATTGAGAGACTCTATTGATTTGACCCCAATCAAAACCAAACTGTTAACACAAAACAATAGGACTTGACATACTTCAATAGCTCCGATTGGTAATCGCATAATTGCAGAATAGCTTTTCTAATGCGATTATGTAAAAAATTTGTCAATCAAGAAAATCTTTATAATTGCATTAGAAAACACAAAAACGCAATATTTGCGTTTTCGCCTAAAAAATAGAAGTAAAAATTCATTATAGAAATAAATGGGTATATAGTTACTTATTAACATAATGAGTTTTTTTTTATTTTACCGGCCCATACAAAATATTTGCAATAAGAAAACAATTGTTTTTAATGAAACTTATATTGTTTTTGGATAATATTGAAAAATTTCACAAGGTATTAACAATTTTTAATATTTCTATATTTTATTATCAAATATTACTTAAAATTTTATTAAAGTATTCAAAATATTCATATTATATGGCTAATAAAATATTCTAAAGATAAAATGAAATGAGAAAATTATAAAAATATTTCTAAATGCATAATAATAAATATAAGTGAAAATAAAATATAAGTTTAAAACATAATAATGTTTCACATACATATACGTAAAAGTAAAGTCCATGACTCCATAATAAAACTCAATACGAAAAAGCTTATTGATTTTTTTTAACTAAAAAAAAAGCTTATTATAATTTTCTTGGTAAAGTAAGCATCTTTCAATCTTGTTCAAAGGTTCTCTGAAAATTTCATCTTTTACTTTATCTTTTCAAAACATATTTCTTTTTATCCTTTTACAAGCAAAAAAAAAACAAAAGACAAAGAAGAATTATATTTGCTTTACTAGTTGTTGCGGAGAAAGTTTGACTGTCCCATAATCGCTTCTTGTTCTTAATTCCCATGACCAATCCATTCTGCAATCGTATATCTTTCTGTATAAAAGTCTAATGGATAAAAAAGAAAAATGTAACCTAAGAAAGTGGTAATGCGCTAATGGCTTTCGTTTGTATACAAGTTGCCATGTTCGTCTAGGTTAGAGATAAACTCTCATGAATTTATTTAACCATTTCCATTTAACTAGTCAAAATGATGTATGACTTTAGATCCATTAAAAAATTCGACGAGTTAATTATTCGAAAGCTATATATACTTAAAAAAAATTAATCGGATATAGTACAAGTTTGGATCACTCCCTAATGATAAAAAAACGGTAACCTAGATTTTGTGGTACTGTAAACTAGCGATACTATGTTACCAAAACTTGGAATATATTTTTGAAATTATGTGTTACAGAAGAATAAGAGATGATGGTTGGTTCTTCATCTTTTATTTCGTAAATAAAAATATTGGAACGATATGATTTGTTGCTCGTGTTAAGCAACTATTTGGTCATACACCTTCTTTAAATGGAGACAGATCTACCCGTCGCTAAAATATGCGTTGAACAAGTTTAGAAGAATGTACAAAATTTAAAATGTTTATGAGGGAAAATCTTATTACAAAATCACTAACGTTGTTAAGTTGTTAAGTTATTTCAGAAAGATTTTTGTTTTTGAGATTTCTATAAAAGTATACAAACAAATAACTTAGACACTACACTTGTTTAAGGATTTAATTTCTTCAAATGTGTTGAAACATATTCAAATCATAACTACAGTATAATACCTATATTTAAAATGTTTTGATTTTATATTTTATTTGGTATAAGTAGTATAAAATTTATTTGGATTTATTTTTTATATAAATTGAATTTGGTGAAAAAATATTGGTTGTTGTTTAAACTTGGATTTACTTTGTATTATATAAACATCATTTGCAAAAGATGTTTTAACAGTCCGATGTATTCTTCAAACTTCATACATGACAAATATAGAAAGTCAAAGTAATGATAAATTGTTACTACGTAAGAATTATATAAATATATGATAACAATGATACATATGACGAAATTGAATTATAATGTTCATTTTCTAAGTAAGTTTTTATTTTATCGTAAAGTAAAGACCAAAAAATATCGAAATACAGCCATGTAGTTTTGTTTGGATCGGACATGGCTTTAAAATATAGGCTCAAAATTTATTTAGATGCTAGGCAAAGAAACGAAAAAAAAAAATTATTTAGACCGGACCATATTCAAATATATGCAGATTTTACAGATTACGGGACGTGTCGGTCATGATATATCAAACCTGATTGATATGCCTACATAACTACTGTATGTAATTGAACAATAATTTTATTTTCTTACAAAAATTTCTATTAATTTTTTTTTTCTCTATTATAAAAAGTTATTTTTTGTAACAAAGCGAACAATTCAATTTTGTTAACATATCTTTAATCGAAGATATAACATACAAGTACAGTAATAAATTTAGGTAAAATTGATTTAGAGGTTTGTTTATTTTATTTAGAAATCCAAAAAAAACTCAGTGTATATATAAATAGATGCAGTCATGAAATATGACAAAAGAGCATCCGAACAATGGGGAATATACATGTGTGTGGACCTACCAACCATGATGCCACCACCTCTCAATTCACCCACATTTCTTCTATCTACGCATGTAAGAATTATTTGTCAAAAGTATTTTCTTAACCCAAAAATAAGAAAAATATTTGGGTTCACCCCTAGGGGGGTGAACCTCTTATGTTCACCCCCTTTATTTTATCCAATCAAAATATGCCACCTATTAATATAAAAAATAAATTATTTAATTATAAAATTTAATTTGCCACTAAAACGAAATTATGTATCGGTTTAGGTTTATTAGAAAGGGTTAGAGTTTAGATTTTATGATTAAACGAGTTTAACTATCGGTTTGGATTTATAAACGGATTTAGATTTTACAATTAAACGAGGTTAAGTGTTGGTTTGGGTTTAGAAAGTACGATTAGGGTTTAGATTTTTTATGATTAAACGAGTTTAAATGACGGTTTGGGTTTACAAAGGAGAATTAGGGTTTAGATTTTATGATTAAACGAGTTTAACTATCGGTTTGGGTTTATAAACGGGTTTAGATTTTACAATTAAACGAGGTTAAGTGTCGGTTTGGGTTTAGAAAGTACGATTAGGGTTTAGATTTTTTACGATTAAACGAGCTTAAATGACGGTTTGGGTTTACAAAAGAGAATTAGGGTTTAGATTTTGTAATTAAACGAGATTATATATCGGTTTGGGTTTATAAAAGAGTGGTTATGACTTAATCTTATTGTTTTATTTAGAAAATAATTGTTTTAATTTTTTTAACTAGATGATATGGCAAATTCTAATTGGATAATTAAGAGGGGATGAATGAAAGTGGTTCACCCCTAGGGGTGAACCCAAGAATTGTTCCACAAATAAGAGGATACTTGATGGCTTGCATCTACATTTACAATAAAATATAATTATCTTATAAAACATCATTTATTGATTGTAACCAAATAGACAATATAATCTAATGGTTTATGCCTTGTGGTAATGGTTCATTGTGTTTTCATTTGAATTTAAACTCAGATAATACATATTATTAATAAAAGAAAAAAGATTATAAGCAAAAATATAAAATCATTCTGCTTTTTTTAATTTAAATTTACTAATGTAAGTAGACACGTATATTATGGTTTCAATTTAAAAATGCATAATTTTAACATACATGCATGTGTAAAAGCAGAGGCAAATTAAATGAGGAATAAGACAATGAATTTTGAAGAAATGATTTTAGTTCCCATAAATTATTATTTTTATTTTTTTGATCAAAGCAGGAAATTATTATAGATGAAATATGTGGAAGGAATATTTTCAAAGGAAAAAAAAAGTATAAATTGGATTTTTTAGTCTATAAAAGAGATAGGTGTATATGCATGGTCTGATACCAAAGGACCATTTTCGCTTTTATTCATGAATAATACTTTTTTTTTAATAAGAATTTGGAATCCTTTTGGATCGAACACTATAAATTAGAATCTTGGACTTGGCCCATTGCTCGGTCAAAAGGAGGTTTTGTAAGTATGTTCCAAACACTTGAAAACCTCGAGAATGCCACCATCAAGAGAAATAGTAATTTTAAGTCAAAATTAAGAATCTAAAATCATGTGTTATCGTTATGCAGTGTGATTGAAATAGAGAAATTTACATTGAGTAGAGAAATTTAGTATAATAGGAAACCATGAATTGACACACGTCAAACACATAATAACGAAAATGAAGCCTTAGATCTATGTATATTTAGTACGCCAAAGAGAGTGAAATACGTTAAGTATAGTGGTAGAAACTTTGGATAATTTCGTTATAATAATAATAAGTTAGTTATTTCGGATTTATTTATGATTATGCAACACAAACTTATGAAATATGGGTACAAATGCAACATGCCAACATGTATTATACGCATGAGAATGATATTGCAGCAGTGAAAACAAAAGCTTTTATGGGAAAGGAAACTTTATATTTAGTGTAAATAAAATCAAGATAAAGATGAGCTTTGGATAGGGCCGGCTCAATTATTGGCGAGACCCTGTGCTAGACCCGACCCAAAAAAACTAGTTTTTGGACAAAAAAATTTTGGAACTATTATTATTGTTATTAATTTTGTGGTTTTTTGTTATAGAAAGGGTTATTTTTTAAAAAATTGGATTTTTCCATATTGTTTTTTTTTAACAAAAGTTAGATTTTTAAAGTATAATTTTTGAATTAATGGTATTTTTAAAGAAAAATTAGACTTCTTGTATTTAAAAAAAAACCCAAAAAAAAAGACCCTTGGACCCTGTGCTTCTGCACTCTTGGCACATGTGCTACGCCGGACCTGGCTTTGGATGTATGCAAACATACCAGTACTAATGCACCATATTCCATAAAGACTCCTCAGTTAAGCGTGTTTGGACGAAAAAGTATTAAGATGGGTGATCTTCCGAAGAATCGTGTTGCATCTTTTTTAATAGTTTATAAATTGCGTTTAATTAATAGAAAAAAAAAAAATTTGAAAATTTTTTGTTGCAATTTTTGTTTTCATTATTATTTTGATCAAGCAAATGATTTTTTTTCATTAGTGTTTGCTAATTCCTTTCCTGTCACTGAAAAGTGAAAATATTGAAGTGCCTACATAAAAACAATTACGGAAATTAAGAAACACGTTAAATTGACGAAAAGATAGAAACATTGACTAGAGAAGTGAAAATCTGCTGGCACACGAATACGAATATTTTCTTCAAATTATATGACAATTCTCTAAAATATATACTACCTTTTTCTCGAAATCAGTACCATTAAATTACAAACTTTTTTTTTTGGCTATATAAACAATTGTAATTGCTTGCTTTTGGTATTTTTAAGTCTTTGTAATTTTTTTTTTTTTTTTGTAAGCCTTTTTCTTCCATACCATTACATGGTGCTAACTTACCTGATGAGGTCTTCTTGTTTACAAACTCGATCGACATCAAATATTCACACACACGTGCACACATACGTTAATGGCATCTTTGTTATCGTTCAGAACAAAGGAGAACTAAAAATTGTGATTCTTTTTACCATGAGAAGCGACCCCACCCAATTAAGTCAATTTGTGTAATCTTTGGTCATATATGAGAATGATCAGCTTTGCTTTTCTTGTCTTTCTTCTACATATTCATCTATAAATACCTTCTCTCACCTTCTCCTTTTTTCACACACTCACTTGTAGAAGAAAACAAACTCATCGAAACGGTTATCTAAAAACTCTTTTAACTCTTAAGTTTTTGCTTCCAGTTTTACGTACCATGGATTACAGATCATCAATGGAGTCGTCGGAAACCCTAAGGTAACTATTTTCATGGCATACGCCTACTATACCCTAGCCTTTTCATGAACAATCCCTAAGAGAAGACTCATGGAGTTGCATGCAATATTATATGAAAATAAATGTTAATTTTATACTAACATGAATGTATATATTATATGTACACGTGCAGGAACAAGTGTGCCGCTTGTTATAGGCAATTCAACAAAATGGAACATTTAGTGGAGCACATGAAGATCTCTTATCATTCGGGTCATGAACCTACTTGTGGTGTTTGCAAAAAACATTGCCGATCTTTTGAGTCCCTCCGGGAACATCTCATAGGTAAATAATAACGTCTATACACTTTTCATATCTATAGATGTATACCATTTCATATATACACTTTGTATATGCAAACATTTCTAAATTGTTATATCTATAGGGCCGTTGCCAAAACAAGAATGCAAGAACATTTTCAGCCTTCGCGGATGCAGATTTTGCATGACGATCCTCGAAAGCCCGAATGCTCGTAGGATCCATCAAGAGAGATGCCAATTTTCGAGCGTGAACTCTGTAATCCTCTTTTCTCATATTTATGTATTTAAACTTGTAACCTATGAATCGACCACAAGAATATATACTTATATAAATCATATGATTTTCTCATTTTTAGGGACTGACGACTCGCATGGCGGCTTTAGGTCTAAGAGATAAGGCCATGATCGACTACACGTCCTCGCGGTCTCCACGAGTGGTTGCACTCTCTTGCAAGATGGTAGGAGGAGGAAGCGACGGGTCGTTGGATCTGTGTGCGAGGGTTTGCATAACGGATGAGAGTGACAACGTTGTGTTCCACACGTATGTGAAACCTTCGATGGCCGTAACAAGCTATAGGTACGAGACGACGGGGATTCGTCCGGAGAATCTAAGGGACGCAATGCCGTTGAAACAAGTACAAAGAAAGATTCAAGAGTTCCTTTGTAATGGAGAACCAATGTGGAAGATTCGTCCAAGAGGTGGAAAAGCGAGGATTCTCGTGGGACATGGCCTCGATCACGATCTTGACTGCCTTCAACTTGAATATCCTTCTTCCATGATAAGGTTGACATTTATATTTTTAAAAAGTATAAAACGAAAATACGTATAACAAGATTCTTTAGTGTTACTTCTCTTTTGATATAACATATCATTTTATGTGAATTTATATGTTAACGGTGAAGTTTAATATTTTTATGTAGGGATACTGCGAAATACCCACCGTTGATGAAAACAAGCAAGCTTAGCAACTCTCTCAAGTACTTAACCCAAGCCTATCTCGGGTAATATATCAAGTTTTTTTTTGTTTTTTTGGTATCATAAAATATAAAATCAAATAAATTAATTCGGAAAGTGAGTATACATGCATGCACTCGTATGTTGATATAATATATGTGTATTATGTATGTATGATGTTTTTTGACAAAAACAAAATGTATGTATGATGTATCCGTTAATTATTAGTTTTTCAGTGGGTATTGATGCTTGTATGGGTTTAAAGTTATAAGGAAGAGATTCAGAACGTGAAAAGATTCACATATTTAATAATATATTAGTTTCTACATCTACACACATACATATACATATATATATAATATATTAGTAAATAGATTTTATATGACTAGAAACAATAATCCAAAATCATTAGACATTTTTATTTTACACGAGATGCTTATTATATTCAAGATTATATATTAATAAATGATGTGTTTATGTAGGTATGATGTTCATTTTGGGATACAAGACCCGTATGAAGATTGTGTAGCGACAATGAGGCTTTACATGAGAATGAGATATCAGAAACACAAGATTGAAGCTTATCCTTTAGCCGCCGATGCGCAGAACCGTAGCAACCAGGTGGCTTGGAGGCAGAGTGAGGTCGAGAGGATGTCTCCTGATGATATGCTCTCCATCTCTCGTTCTGACTATTACTGCTGGTGCTTAGACTCCCTCGCTTAATTACTAAACCTATGGGGTTATTTATGTGGTCTCTCAAAATTAGTAATTCTTAAAACTTTTCCAGAGATTTTTAATTTAGTAGCATCATGTGGAATAAGCATTGGTTATGATTTTGTAGTAGTATCTAAATTTTATAGTGTGTGTTGTGTGAGATGCATAGATTGTTATTGTACTTTTTAATAATGCATTGATATCAATTATTAATTATATGACTGCTTTTATTTTTTCAATCCCAGATTAATTATACTACGATTCCATTACTAGAGATTTATATTTATAAAAATAAACATTTCTATATAAAATATATTTGTAAAAGGTACGTATTAATTGACAAAAAAAGGTACGAAATAAAAAAATCAGCTTTAATACTAGAAAAAAGCGAATAAAAAAAAAAGAAAGCAAAACTTTTTTTTGGAAAAACTAGCACTTATTATATATCTTATTATATGCAATTTGGTTTCAAAGTTACTTATTAACAAGATCATGATACGTGACTCATAACTTAAACAATTATCAAAACACCAACATTGTCATTGCATTGAAATATGTAACAAACTTTGCATCTTGTGCGGGCTTCTCCTTCGCATTGCATAAAAGATTTGGACACTCAATAGTTGACTAAAAAATTATCATTTTATGATATGAGTTAATTAAAAAAAAACTGTTCTAATAATTGTACTTCCTAACCTATCAACGTACTCTATATGTTCCCACCACATAAGTACATACTAATATCTCAAACATTCCAAAAATGTGTATGCTTGGAGTTGTGTCCACATTATACTGGCAGACCATACTAATGACTCTTTCTGTGGTCTCCTCAATCTTCATTGTGTAATACTCAAATTGCCTACATTAAAAAAGAATTGGATTTCCAACAATAAGACATACAACGAAATCTCTATAAGGCAAACTAAGAAAAAAAAATCTTAATCTTCATGGAATATAATGATCACATGTACTTAGGTCATGTTGAGTAGTCTCATCAAAAGTTTAGGGATTCTAGAGGAAATGACCGTATAAAAACCATTTTCTCTTAATATGAATTATATTGATTGTTCTCTTTCTTTAATTGTTCTTAAAGACTTAGATGAATTAGGCCAATTCACCTATTACTCATGATCTAATTCTTCAAGCCACCAAAAGTGGTGTTGAATTGATGGACCTGATATCTCTTTCCCATAAGGTTGTGGCATGTAGTCTATTCTGACACGTGACAACTGATATTCCGTCTTCCGCGTGTTAGAGATAGTTCTTTGAGAATCTATGGTGCCCATTGATTCCTTTTCATAAAAATTTTAACCTTGTCGATCATATCCATATGAAGTCACTTCGCGATCTCCCATTCTTCTCTAATACCTTGAGCTTGAGGAATAAGAAACTTCAGGCCCAGTTTTTAGAAAGCTCTCTCCTCGCTCCACCATACGGATGATATCTCTCCCGATACCGAGGAAAATTTCTCTTTTCTTATGATACTGCAGTCTATCTAAAACACCTTTGCTTCTATACTCTATTTTTCGGAATTTCCTTCCTGAGGTCGTCTCTGTGAAATGAGCCTCTTGCGTCATAATCGTTCTTGAAGTTTCTTCTTGTATGAGGCACAAATTCAGGAGCTCAATGCCTTTTTTCTTTCAGATCCAAGTTGGCCTCCAATGATCTTTCAACAAGTCTCCCTCCTTCTTGATATCGAATTAAAATTTCATGTTTCCCAGATTTGTACCTTGCTGTTTTTCTTCAACATCCAATATGCGAGATGAGTCTAGAACTGAAATTTTTTTTTAAAAAATAAATGAATAGAGTCTAAAACCCTATATTTTATTCCAAAATCAAATTAATTTTTTGAAACCCATACTCGGCCGGTTCACCGGGTCGTGGGTTAATGGCGGGTTTTTTGGGGTTTTTTCGGTTTTTAAATTGCCGGAATTAACATTAAATCCAAACCGGAAAAGTGTCTGGATTGTGGATTAACCGGTCAGACCGGATGGTTCGGATCGGGCGTGAAAACACTGATCCAAACAAAACGAAAAAAATATATGTTTTTAAAATAATGCGAGCAGAATTTAAAGATTCGGCAAAATGGGAGCCTGTTTTTGCAATAAAATTTTTTAGAGGCTTATTGTTGTATCGGATGGGCTCGCTAGGCCCAGGACTGGCTCTGAAATAGGCCTATAGGAGCAGGTT